CTCCTACAACCAAAAAAAGAGGCACAAGCCTACTGGGCCTCTTTGGAGTAATACACTTTATTTAGGTGCATTACTCAGACTCATTAACTAAATGACTGAAAAGCTGCTAGTTTTTAGTGGGACCCAGAACCGGAGAAGGCTCTGCAGCAGGTCCAGGCTGCTGTGCAGGCTGCTCTGCCACTTGGGCCACAGGATCCAGCAGATCCAGTGGTGCTTAAAGTGTCAGTGGTTGATGGGGATGCTGTTTGGAGCCTTTGACAAGCCCCGGTAGGTGAATTGTAGCACAGGCCCGTAGGATTTGAAGCAAAGCCCTGCCTTCCTCCACAGGTAACCACTCCCCTTTTGAGAGACAGCTCTTGGCCTGCTAGTGGGCATTAACAGAAACCGAACGCTTGACCATGGGCCACCAAGTTACCATGCAACCTAAGCTACCCATCATGAGCTGCGTGTTATCTGACCACCAAGCCATAAAGCGGGGCGTGCACAGCAGCACTCCATCATCAAATGGACGTGGTGTGTAGGTGATCGGGCCTGAGCGGGTCCTGCAGGCACAAGTAAGTTACATGAAGAAGTGGACCAAATGCCCAAGATCCCTACTCCTGCTACACTGCCCTCTCTCCCCCAGCCTGCACCTGTGGCCTCGGGGGGAGTTCCCCATGATCTGTGGACAGAGGGAGATAAGACTCAGGCCTGGACTGCAGATGGCTCTGCACCATACACAGGCACCCAAAGGTGGACACCTGCAGCACTGCAGTCCCTTTCTAGGACATCCCCGAAGGACGGTGGTGAAGGGAAATCTTCACAGTTGGCAGAACTTAGGGCATTGCACCAGGCTGTGCACTTTGCTTGGAAGGAGAGATGTCCAGACGTGTGATTATCCACCAGTGGTAGATGGTCAAGGACCATCTTGTTGGATGGTCAAGGACTTGGAAGGAACATAATTGGAAAATCGGTGAAAAATTTGGGGAAGAGGTCTGTGCATCGACCTGAGTTGACAAAGAACATGGAGATATTTGGGTTCCATGTGAATGCTCACCAAAGGGTGACCTCAGTAGAGGAGGACTCTAATAATCAAGTGGATGGGATGACCTGCTCTGTAGATACCACTCAGACTCTTTCCACATCCACCCCTGTCTTTGCCCAATGGGCTCATGAACAAAGTGTTCATGGTGGGAGGGATGGAGGTTACACATGGGCTCAGCAACATGGACTTCTAGTCACCAAGGCCACCAAGGCTAACCTGGCTGTGGCCACAGCTGAGTGCCCGGTCTGCCAGCAGCAGAGACCAGTGATGAGTCTCTGATATGGCACCATTCCCTGGAGTGATTGATTGGTCAACTACTTGGTGGCAGGTTGATTATACTGGATGGCTTCCATCACGGAAGGGGAGGCATTTTGTTTTATTGGAATAGACACTACGAATCTGTTTGCCTTCCCTGCACCCGATGCTTCTGCTGGAACTACCATCCGTGGACTCACAGAATGCCTCCTCCACAATCATAGTATTCCACACAGCATAGCTTCTGACCAAGGAACTCACTCCCCACGCTCATGGAATTAACTGGTCTGACCATGTTCCTCACCATCCTGCAGCTGCTGGCTTGATAGAACGGTGAAATGTCCTTTTGAAGATGCTGTTATAGCGCCAGCCAGGCAGCCATACCTTGCAGGGCGGGGCAAGTTCTGCAAAACGCTGTATATATTCTGAACCGGCATCCAATATATAGTGTTGTGCTTCCATGGCCAGGATTTATGGATCCAGGAATCAAGGGGTGGAAATGGGAGTGGCACCACTCACCGTCACCCCTAGTGACCCACTAGCAAAACGTTTGCTTCCTGTTCCTGCAACGTTATGCTCTGCTGGCCTAGAGGCCTTAGTTCCAGAGGGAGAAATCCTTCCACCAGAGGACACAATTCCATTAAACTATAACTTAAGACTTCCAGCTGGCCACTTTGAGCTCCACATGCCTCTGAATCAACAGGCAAAGAAGAGAGTTGCGGTGTGGGCTGGGGTAATCGAGCCGGACCATCGAGAGGAAACTAGACTACCGCTCTACTGCAGAGGTAAGGAAGGGTATAGCTGTAACATAGGACATCTCTTAGTTTTGCCATGCTTGTGGTTAACGTCAGTGGAACACTACAACAACACAATCCAAGCAGGACTACTAATGGCCCAGACCCTTGAGGAATGAAGGTTTGGGTCCGCCACCAGGTAGACAACTGTGATCGGCTGAGGTGCTTATTGAAGGCAAAGGAAATGCAGAGTGATTATTGGAAGAGGTTATAAATACCAGCTATGTCCAGGCAAATAGCTAAATAAAGACTGCAATTGTCCTGAGTATTTTCTCCTTATTTTGTTCTGAATACATTTGTGTGTGCATCTGTGTGTGTGTGTGTACTGTGTATATCTTTGTTTTATTTTATCTCTTATTCCCTTACTATGTAGTATAGGATGTATTGACTTTATATCATCGTATTCATTGCATTAGGTTTCGTTAATTTTACATCATTGTAGTTAAGCTATAGGATGTCAAGGGGAAGGGTAAACATCACTCAAGGACTTTACCTCCTCTCCTGGGGAAGGCATTCGTGCATTTTTGGCTGTTTGAGGACAGTTGTATCATGTTAGGCAAAGTGATAATCTTGCTATCATCTTTATTTGGAGATTAAACATGGTTTAAGGAGACGTGTGTGGTGCCGAGCTGACATAGGGTAGACTTGCGACGGTTAATTTTATGTGTCATGTTGAATGGGCCGTGGGCTGCCCGAATGGCAGGTTAACCATTATTTCTGGATGTGTCTGTGAGGTGTTTCTGGAAGAGACTAGCATTGGAATAGGTGAACTGAGTACCCCAGATGGCCCTCCCCAACATGAGCAATCTGTTGAGAGCCTGAAAAAAATAAAAAGGTGGAAGAAGGTTGAATTCACTCTCTCACTGTGTGAGCTGGACTTCAAACCTCTCCTGCCCTCGGCATGCCTGGTTCTCAGCCTTCAGGTCTAGACTGGAATCTACTCCATCAGCTTTCTGGCTCCGTGGCTTTGGGTGTTTGAACTGCCCCATCAGTTCTCCCGAGTCTCTGCCTTGGGGACATTAGGCTGTGGGGCTTCTTGGCCTCCAATGGTGCGAGCCAATTCCTCACAATGAATCCCTCTGGACATACATATGTATATCCCCTACTGGTTCTGCTTCTCTGGAGAAGCCTGGCTGCCAGCGCCAAGGGGAAAACGAGTGTCAGGAGAGTGACACCACAAGGGGGCTGGTGGACAGAAGCACATAGCACCTGCCGTGTAGCTGGATATTAGGGGTCGCTTCTGCAGGCACCAAACACACTGTCAGAACAGAAGTAAGTGAGTTGCCACCAGAGCACAACCAGATCTGCTCTGCGTGCTGGAGACTGTCTTCCAGCGTCTTCCACTGGGTCAGCCTGGGGCGCAAGGCAGGATGGGAGATGGGTAGGGGGGTGGGTGTTTTGGGGACAATCCCTGATGCTAAAAGCAGCCCAGAAAAGGAGCCAGGGGAGGGCGTGGGAGGGAAGGACTTGCTAGTGAAGTCCAGCCCCCAGGAGAGGCCCCCAGGGAGAGCTGCCTAGGCAGGGAATGTGGAGCCCAGGCAGTGTGATTTGGAATGAATTTGGCTTTTTGCTGCTCCCACCTTATTTTAAAGCAAATCGTGTTACTTTACATATTGTGTATGGCAGGAAAAAATATGCTTCCGGCCACCTTTCTAGATTCTTTGGCTGGTCTGTGAATTAAACGGACATAAGACAGATTAACAGGTGTCAAACCATTTTAACTTACATACTCAGGGATGAGGACCCCACAAAAATATGAGACTTAAAGAAGCAGCCACATGATTGAGCTACAGAGTGGAATAGAGGTTTGGGGGTCCTGGGGTGCGTGGAGGCACATTCTGGGAGGGTGAGTAAAGTCTGCCTTGTTAGACAGACGACAGTTTCTTCGGTGATAAAAGTTGCCCGGAACAGCTTCCTTCCGGTACAGAGGAATTTACCAGTGAACATTTCCTTTAGAGATGTAAATTTTCTTCACAAAGGGCAGCTGTTCCGAGCTTCACCTATGTCTGCAATTTCTCAAAAAGACAAGTTCCAAATAAGCAATATGCCAAAGAGGACTATTTTGGGGTGATATACTCTGGTCTCCCATGGCCAAATTTTGGGGTGATATACTCTGGTCTCCCATGGCCAAATTTTGGGGTGATATACTCTGGTCTCCCATGGCCAAATTTTGGGGTGGTGTATCCTGAGTCCTCACAGTTGCAAATATTGGAAAGAGCCTGTGAAGTCCCGGGAAAAGCTGCGTCTGCTGGGCCAAGGTGTGTCCCCCGCGTCCTCACCCGCCGCTCGGCCTGTGGTGCGAGGAGACCTCGGGCCCCTCTGGGGAACCCTGTCCACAGGGGCGTCGGGAGGGCAGAGAACGGTCGGCTCTGGCCGACTGGGGAGGGTCCTCGGCGCCCGCTTGTGCTGCGGCCAGCGGTCCCCTGAGGCCGACTCCTGGGTCCTTGCGCAGAGGCCACATTGCCCCTCCCCCCCGCCCCGCCACCTACGGGAGTTCCGGAAGCAGCAGCTCCGGGGGCTCACCCGGGACTGGATTAGCGCCCTCCGGAGTCCCCCTCCTATATCCAAACTCCGACAGTGCAGCGTCGGAGACCCCCGGGGTCCGGGGACGTGCGGAGGGAGACGTGCTCCTCCGCAACCCGAAACTGCCCGCTGGGGCCAGACCCGGGAAGTGCCCAGGAGTCTCCTCCAGGTCCCGCAGCGTCCCGGGCTCGCCCCAGGGAAACTCCTCCCCCCGTCGCCGCCGCCAGCTCCCGACCCGCCCCCGCCGCGCGGACAGCCGCTCCGGCCCGTCCCCTCCCCGCGCCCGAGGTGACCCGGGACCCGCGTGTGGGGGTGTCACCCTGGGCGCTCGGACGCCGCCTCCCGAGATAAAAGCAAGAGCCAGGAAGGTCGGGGACTCGGGCGCCAGCCGAGGAGACGCGAGCGCCGCAGGAGGCCCGGGAGGCGGAGAGGAAGGCGGGGCGGGAGCTGCAGGTGAGCGGCGCGCAATCTGCTCCCGGGGCCCGGGCGCGGTGCCGGGCTTGGGAGGGGGACCGGGGAGACTGGGGACACCCACGTCCCCGGCCCCGAGCCGGGCGCGGGTGGCTGGCGGCGAAGCCGGAGCGAGGATTGCGAGCGCGGCAGGTGCGTCCGCCCGGGCTGAGCGCTGCGGGCCGAGCCACAACGCGCCTTCCGAGGGGCCGGGAGGGGGCCGCACGGTGGGGACACCGGGGCGCGCGGCTTGGACCTCTGTCCGCTCCTGTTGGCGTCGTCGGGCTAGGGCAGGTGGCCCTGCGAGTCCCTTGCCTGGGTCAGAGAAGAGGGTGCCTGCGGGTCCCTCGGGGTGTGTCCCTGGGCCGAAGCGGGTTCCGGGGCGCTGGCCCTCTACGGCCCCCACCTCGTCGCCCGGGTGCGCCTTTTCTCTTTGGGGACGAGGAAGGGGGAGGAGGGCTGTCGGTGTTTCTTTGTTTCGGGGAAATCTCTGCAATCCCGGAGTGTTACCTGAACTCCTTCTGCTCTTGGTTCCTACCGAGGTGGGGAGAAACTGGAAACTCGCTGAGATGCCGGGAACGATACGGCCGGCGCGGCGGGGACCGCGGGGCCAGGCTCCCGCAGGGGCCGCGGGCGAGGCACGAACGGCTCTTCAGCCCGGGGAGGGACTGCTGGCGACCCGAACCCCACTGCAGCCATCAGGGCCGGGGCCGCCTGGACACGGGGCACCTGCAGGAGCCCGCCCGGGAGGAGCCGGCCTGGCCGCTGGGTGCGCGCTCCCTGCTGGGGTAAAGGCCTGGCACCTGGGTGCTTCGGTCCACCGCATCCCGTCCAGACGGACTCGGGTCGGTGGCACCCTGGGTGACCGAGCGCACCAGCGCGGCAATGGGCGCTCTGTTCGCGCGCAAGCCTAGCTGAAGAACTGCCCTAGCGCCGGAAAGTTTGCCCATCCACACCCCAGAGGCCCTGGGTGCGGTCGGCCGCCGGCACTGGCTAGTGCCCGGGCACTGCCGTGCTGGGAGCCCCGAGCCGAGTGCGAGCGGCAGGGGAGAGTCCCAGCGCGCCCCGCCGCAGGGCACAGCGCGGTGGCCCGGAGAAGTCCCGTTCAGAACGCACAGGCGGCAGGCTGGATCAGGAGGCATCCTGGTGGCTTGTTTGTAAAGGAAAGGATAGCTGGGCTGCCCAGGTGGGGAGGGGTCACCCGGGGCTTGGCCCTCCAGGTAAACAGGTGCAGTGGTCCTGTGGCTAAGATGGCGTGGTGATGCCTGCGCTCACCAAGCTCCCCGCCGGGAGAACCACCTGAATGATGGAAAATTACAAGGGCTATGAGCCGAGTTACAAGGTGTTTGGAAAACCTAAAGTGAGGCGGGGTGGCTGACCTAGCCTGGAGGGTTGTCCAGGAAGTAAGGATGGAGCCACCCTCCCCTGAAGAAGGGGCGGGGGCTGAGAGTGTGGCAGCAGAGTTTCCCAGGGGAAGGGACGTGGGGACACAGGGAGATGCGGGAGCCCAGCTCCTTCGCTGCTGCTGCCCCCACAGTGAGGGGAAGGGAGGGCCTGTTGTTGGGGGAGGAGCTCCCCCAGGAAGTCTGACTGCTGCTCAGGACTCCCTCACCTTTACTCAGCTGCTTCTGGAAAGGTGGGACCGGCCTCCTTCCCCCCAGCACACCTCACTGGGCAGAGGGGCTGCCACTGGGGACACCACTGAGTGGAACACACTCTGCACAAGGGTTAGGGTGGGGGCATCCTTATGGGCGGGGACCTCTGCCTGGAGATGATGTTTGACACCTCCGTCTCTGCTTGTTTTTGATGATCAACTGGTGATCAGGCTGGGCCTTTGTTCTCAGCTCAGACATTTGTTTGGTCCCCAGCAAGTTCCCTCTTACTCAACCCCACCCTCCGTAGGGTCAACCTTCCAGCAACAAGGGTGTGCTGTTGCCACATGCAGAGCCCTCCTGGTGGCTTGGTGCTGGCCCCACTGGCTGCTCCACCATGAGCCCAAGTCACTTTCATCGCAGGAGTAAATTTGGCCTCATTGGTATCATAATAATAACCACAGGCATTGATGTGACACTTTCTTTCTTGTAGCCAGGCATCGTCACAAGCTCTTTACAACATATTTAGCTCAGTTATGAGGACACCGTGACCTGGGGACGACCACAGGCTGCACAGGTCGATGCTCCAGTATTAGGTTCTGAGGTGGAGACACAGGCGGCTTAGGAGGGACCGTGGTGACCATCGGGACAGAGTGCCAGGTCCCTTCCCTTCCTCCCTCAGCTCCTCCTGGAGGGTAGAATGTTCGGGGCTGGTGGAAAAAAGGAGAGTCGGAGGCTGTGAACAAGGCCCGGGAATCCTGGTTCGCAAGGGCTTGCTCCTGGGCCGGGCTCGGGTTCTCCTTGGCCCGACAGAGCAGGTGCCTGCAGCCCTCTGGCCTCTGTGCTGCCTCCCACCCCCACGCCAGCAGGACAACGGCGAGAGTGCTTGGGACCCCTCAAGGGGGCCTGTGGAGGGCTGGCCTCGCTGTGCAGAAGTCCTGGAGGTGGTGAAGCCAGACACGTGCAGCGCCCCTGCGACCATCACCATCCTCGTGTTGGTGTGCCCACTCCTACTCTGGGCCAACCTGGAAATTTAAACAGGAGCACAGCCAGGCAACTCTTAATCTTTTCCACCTAAATCTGTGGCAGGATTCTTTGGGGACCTTTGTAAGAATATGGGGCCCTTTCCCTGGTCCCCATTGCTGCTTCGGACTCTGGGGGACCGGGGCCCAGGAATCTTAATTTTTTTCTAAGCGCTCCTGAAACTTCTAGGTTTGGGAACGATTGGTCAGGTCTAAGCCTTGAGAACTGAGGCAGAAAGGAACGGTGACTGGTCGGTGAGTGGTAGGTGTCGGTTACTGAAGAACTGGAAACTGGCCCTGCTGGTGGGGAGGTTGCCGGAGGGCTCTGGAGGCCAAGGAGTGCTCCTTGCAGGGAGTTGGTTGGGGGGACAGGGGACACTACAGACCCTGGTGCCTGTCCCCTCTCTGGTCTCTTCCACTCTGCACTCCCTGCGTGTTCCCTCATCCTACTGTCCCTGAGCCTTCACCTGCTCTTCCTGGCCCCTCCTTACTGTCCAGGGCACTTGTCAGGGACGCCCCAACACTGGGACTACCCCAGGATGCATTGGGTGGTCTCAGGATTGGGGTGCAGGAGCATGAGCTGAGGTCTGCATTGGGGCAGCCTTTGTGGGTCAGTCCCTTCCTGAACCTAAAGGCTGACTTGGGGAGCCCCGGCTTGCCATCCCCTGGAGTAGCCGGCCTGGGTCTGAGGGAGGCAGGCTCGGGACGCCCCTGTGCCCCTGACCATCCTGGTCCCAATGGGCACAGGGGCTCCTGGGGAGGAGCAAAGCGTTGTCTGCAGCAGGTTAGCCGTTCAGCTGATCACACGGGCAGATCTGCGGGATGACCTGGAGCAGAGCCTGGCTCCCCGAGGAGGCAGAGACCTACCTGGGACTTGTTTTTTCCTGGTCACCAGGCAGCGGTCGGGAGAGAGGAACTGAGCGCCTGGGAGACGCCCTGGTCAGTGGCAGAGGGTGATTGTCTGGTGGGGGTGTGGGCAGTCACTCGCATTCTAAACAGAGTGGAGCTCGAGAGGCAGGTGACTCAATGACACGCTTTTTGCTCTTCCTGGAAGAGTGAGTGAGGGTGAGGGAGGTGAGAGCTTGGGCACCTGGTGCGTGCGTGGAGTTAAGCCGCCAGGCATCAGTGGCGGGTGGGCAGGAGGGTTAAGGGTGCGGAGTGTGATAAGAAAACAGGAATGTGTGAACGGCACCGTGGTTTGTGGCTGAAGTCTGGAGGTTCAGGCAGGGGCATGATGGAAGAACTGGGGCACTCAAGTGGGGCTGAAAGGGAGGCCGTGACGATCGAGCTGACGTTCATTAGAAAAATATTTTCAAGTGAGGGCTAAATTGTCACGTGAACCCAGGCCCAGGCTTTATTCCTGCTTGTCTGTCCGTGGTGTGAGACCCAGTGTCACATTTCTCCCTGCTCAGGCCATTGCTTTCCAAGGCCAAGCCTGACCTTACTGCAGTACAGCCTTGGGGTCACGGGAGACTGAGTTTTCTAGGGACGACGGGTTTGGAGCTCATTCTGTGAAATTCTGATGACGGAGAGTTTGGTGACATTTTCAAGTTCACTGGTGATGATACATTTATAAGGAGTTGGGAAGGACTTTGAAAAGCTCATGAAGTCTGGCCTCCGAGCTAAAGCCCAATTCTGCCCTAGAATATGCTGGAGAAATGATCTTCCAGTCTCCAAACACATGCTTTTAGGTTTAACGAATTCAGTGCTTTCCAAGGTAGCCTCTGCTCCCGTTTGAACTTTCTAATTTTTAGAAACGTGGTTTCCCCAAGTGGAGTCAAAGCTTGTGGTTCTTATAATTCCGATCATTCATCCTGGTGTCCTCCCTTGGATTTACATAGACTAAATTGGATTCCTTTTCCACACAGCAGTCCTTGGATATTGGAAGACAAACCTATCTGCTCTCATTACACTGAGAGCTCAGCGTGTGCTGGGCGCCTTGCTAGAAAACTTACTTTCTCACTTAACCCTTACAACAACCCTGCTGTTTTATTAGCCCCATTTTACAGGTCAACTTGGGCAAGTTCTTTAAACCTCAGCCAGTGGGCTGTGCGTAGTATCAAGGAGTGGTGGCCTGGGCACCTCTGCTGCCTGCCTGTCTGTCATTTTAGGGGTGCACTCAGGTTTGTGCACCTGGACCCCCGCGCAGTCACCCACTGTCCTGACTTGGCCGGGTACGGGTTTCCCATCTCTCTCTGTTAAATTTCATCTTACTCATTTGGCCTTTGGAACTCAAAAAATATGTGAACACTTTCTTTGTATGGTACAAAGCTAGACTTAAAAAAAAAAAAAAAAAAGAGGACCAGACCTGATTCCTGCCCTAAAAAGTTTGTAATCTCTTTGGGACAATGAGTCATTCATAGAAAAAGAAACTCGGATGATGCAGGCAATGCCTCTCCTGAGGTCATCCCTCTGTTTCTCTCTGTTTCCATCTGTAGAATTCCCGCGTCAGGCACCGTGTGTCCCATTTGTCTGTCGTATACTCGTTTATGCTGAACAGTTACTGAAATCCCCCACTGTCATTTAACTTTCATTTACCAGTGCGTTATATCCCCAGGAGGACAGAACATTTCCTTGTATAATGTGATTTTACTGCAGTGGTCTCGGCACAAGGGGTTCTTTTTGATCACCGGGCCATTGGAAGGGGAGCATCTGTGGATGGTGGCGGAGCTGTTTTGGAGTTTGAAGAAGGGATTGGAACCTGAGGAAGGCGAGGCCTCGCCTGCCTGCTCACCCTTCCAGCTTCCGGAACTTGAACAGTACCCGGCACACAAGTGGGGACTTCAGGAAGGAGCGAGTGCCTGCGTGGTGTTCGTGGTGACGTCGGTGGAGCCTTAATTACAGGGAATAGCCCTGACTCCTGGGTGGACATCGGCATCTATGGCCTGACTGCGTTCATATTGGTTTGGTTGTTTTCAAAATAAGCGTCCAGCAAATGTGTTCTGAGATCTCCAGAGGAGAGAAACTGGAAGACACTGTTCTTGTTTTGGAAATAACTCATCGTGTCATGGGATGCAGATGGGATCTCACAGCTTCATCCTGTGCACGGTGGCTGGGCAGGTGACTCGGGCTGGCTTGCCTCTCTGAAAGAGCAGCCCGGAGTGGACAAGACAGCTGGAGGGCAGCTGGGCCCTGTGGTGAGACTCCGGCGAGTGATACTGTCCCTGTCGGGGGAAGAGATTCGGAGCTTCATCCACTCTTGCTCTTTTGCCACTGAAAGGAAGATTTCCCAAAGTGCTTCATTATGGCTGGCTTTCTAGAATGGAGAACAATCATGTCTGTCCTTCACATGACAGGAAAGAACATTCGCTAAACAGTGTTGCCTCTTATCATCCAGGTTATATCTTGCTCCTTTCAGAAACCAGTTAATGAGAATTACAATCCCATGCGGGCGTGGGAATGCCTGCTTTGAAAATGAGTGGGGCCGGATGTGATTTCCTGGCCCTTTGGGGACAGTGACGCTCCCCTTTCAGATCCGATGCCAGAGCGGGACATTTCCCCCTTCTTTTCTGCTGGAGAAAATTATAGGCAGCACGATTCTTGTCTTCTATTCCAAAGTCCATGGTAGCTGATCGGGGCACACTTGATGTTTTGGCTCTAATGTTGTGTGGGCCGTGGGATCGCTGCATGAGATAGGGTTGTCCCGTGATTACCTCTGGGTCCTGTGGCTTTTATTGGACAGTTCAAGGTCGTGGCTCCCGGCGTTCCTGCCTTTCCTGGCTTCCTCGTCTCTCATTGTGAGGGATCGCGAATGAATAGCAAGCGTGGATTTGAGCATTGATTCATCGTTCCTTTCCGAGGGCTCCTGAACTGGGAAAGCCGCCAGTGGGATCAAATTTTCATTTCCTGAAACTTCAACCGAACCTACAACTGGTCAGATAGCAGAGCTGGGAAACCAGAGGGGTGAGAATGAGTCTGGGTAGGCAGAGCTCTTTGGGGAGTAATCGTAGGATGGTGCGGAGCCCTTTCCTGCCTGGAGACAAGAGAGCAGGATACTGTGCTGATGTCAAGCGTTAGGGTCCTCTGTCCACAACGTAGACACCAGAAAGGGATGTTAATATGTGACAGCCACACTCACGTAGAAGGCTCACATGTCATAAATATGTTTTAAATGGTGATCTTTCCCACCTGTACGTTAGTCAGTTTTCTTTCCTCATACCCAGAAGGGTGTGGCCTTTATTTTTAATCTTAAAACAACTCAAAGCTATCAACATGACCTGGTTCTTATATTTTATCTGTACGTGAAAAGTAAATAAATGATCTGGTGAATTTATATTGTGATCTGTTTAGTGAGGTTTCCTGAGATTCAAACGCCATACTCGTGTTGATTCACAGCAGGTTGTCAGCGTATTTTTAGTTTGATGGTTCCGATACTAATTTTGCTCGGGAGATGGAGAAGCAGCGGTGGGCTGGGGCTGGCGCCACTGCATCTGGCACCACTGAACTTGGACGGCTGGTGAGATTCATGCGGTAGCCTGGGGGTACTTACCAGGCACAAATCCCTTCTCCTTCAGCAGGTTGTTGAACATTTATCAGCTTTATAATTATTTTATTTTTAATGAAAGTTTATGTAGCACTTAATGCGTGTGCTAGGCACTGAGCACTTGATCAGTACTAGCTCATTTAATGCCTGACAACCCCATGGTAAGTGCTACTATTATCTACATTGCAAATGAGGACACTGAGCCACAAAGCATTAACTTGCTCCAGGCCACAGCTAGTGAGGGACTGAGCCTGGTCCCAGAAAACTGTGCTGTGCTGCCTACTGCTGTTTGAGTACCTACTGTGTACTGCCTCTTACAGATGAAAAATATTCAGACCCTGATCTGGCCGGCTCCAATGACCAGAGCCTTCTCCAGGGAACATGGTCTTATGAATGGATGGTCTCAAAGACTATTTCTTAAAATATTCTTTGGTCATTTCAAGCCAAGGGGAAGAAAGGTGGGGAAGAGCCCTTCATTTACTGATGAGAAAGTATTAAAGAAAAAAATCCTTCAGGGGTGCTTGTTAAAGGTGGTTAGACTTGTTAGCAGGACCGTCATGGTAGGTGGAGGCACTGAGGCAGTGGGGGGGAGAGATTGGGCTCAACTCTGAACACAGCATGGGCGAGTGGAGACCAATTCATAACTAAGGAGCAGGGCGGGGGGTGGAATAATCACTAAGAGAAGAAGACATCAAGAGTGAGGGGCATTCTGGCCGAACCGACCTAACGGGATTCTTGCTGAAGACGGGCAAGGTGGTCATATGTCACCTGGGGGATGGTGGAGGGTGAGGAACCTGCTCAGGTGTGGAGAGTGTTCAGATATCGAGGGTGGGGGTTCTTGCTAAACTGACCTAGCAGGGTTCTTTGCTACAAGTGCATGGTACCAGGAAGTGCACAGATGGCCGAGGCGGCTCAGGAGCCTGATTCTTCTGGCAGAGCGAAGAATCTTGTCAGTGGAGAATGATGTCAGAACGAGGCCTTCGCCATAAAGCATGTTATGGTGATGGTATCTCTGGGTATTATTGTTAACTCTTCGTAAATGGATACAAGCAAAATGGCCCATGGTTTTCTTCTCATTACTGCTCATCTTAGAAA